TATTGGCTTGATCTTAAACAGACTGAATTCGGTGTTTTCATAAGAATACTATCCAGGTCAATAATTGTGACCCTCCACAGGAATTTGATGCTAAAGGTGAAAGCACGCTCACGACACGCTTGCACGACACTCTTAGTGTGCCGTAGATCACGGATATGCGCATATTAAATTGAAAAAACAAAGAAGGACACACTTGCCTTTGTTTTGGTAAATTTAACACGCTAGACCTTTTGTTTTTATGTAGCATGCCATATTTCACGGTAAGTGTGCGAATTACAGCACGCTTAGCGTGCAATTTGGGTAAGACACTCTGAACACGCTTGATTACTAAAGCTGCTAAGATGATAAAAATGGCTTGGGTTGTCAGCGGATTTAATCAGCATCGATAACTGGTCGAAGTGAATCAAATATACCAATTGAGACTGTTTTGGAATTTGATAGTAACCGTAGCCATTTGAAAATCACTACTTAATGGTCGTCTGTAGCCTGGAATTAACGCGAGATCAGTGTAAACCAATTCCTCCGGCTGTCGGCTGTTGACCAGAATCGCAAAGAGACCTGCTATCGCATGCGAGACACCGAAGTTATGTCGCCTAAAAATTATAGTTATGCCTCAGGAATCTTTATTAGCAGTAATGTACAGAGAAATGAAGGTGAATAAATTAGTTTACTATTATTTCTTTAAGCCATGCTGAGACGAACGAAGGTAATTAAATCGGAGAAACAAAAACTGCCTAGAATCTTCTATAGGTTGAAGAAGTCTTAACATTTCTAGATGACCGTTCCATGCATGTACAATCAGTTCGAAGCTTATCTAATAAATTCTTTACGATTTTCTGAAGTTTAATTTTAGTGGCTATACGGCCGGTAGCCGGTCAAGGTTTTCAAAACACTAAATGGCCGGCAGTCCTATATTCTCAATAAATTTCACAAAATCGAAAGATTCCAGCTAATCTAAACTATCATATGTCGATTTAGAAAAGTCAAGTGATCCTGAAATGCTTTACAGATCTCAAGTCTAGTGTTTGGTTTACACTGGGCTCAGAAGACGAAACCGTGTTTTGTGACACTTAAAACTTTTTTCAGCTCGACTGCCGGTCAAGGTTTTCAAAACACTAAATGGCCGGCAGTCCTATGTTCTCGGTAAATTTCAGGAAAAATTCAGCCGTACTGATTCTTGATGATTTCTATTTGATCGCCGCGATTGCTGCGATCGGCGAGAAAGTGACTTAAGTCCAAAAGATTACTGTTTCTGAGAAAATTGCAAATGTGTTTTAAATTTAGGAAAGTTAAGATAACCTTTGCACAGCTTCGTCAGTAAACATTTCTGGAAAGAACTTTGATTTTGCAATGCTAATAAAGTTCTACCCATAAATCCAGTAGGTCCCACCGTTCACTGTTTATACTTTTCAAGCGACAAACTTTTCTTTCTCGATAGTTACCAAAAAAGGGTGCCCTTCATAATCATTTACGGTTCCTTTTTGTGAGGAAATTCATTTAGCTTATAGATAACACGCCTTGCATGCTTTTGCACACACTGAAAGCGTGTTGTGCTTTTTTGCAAGGAGCTTTTGTTTGAAAACTTTAACATGCCCTCTTATTCGACTTGCTCACGCTTAATTGTCTCAAGTGTGTCCTCTGAAACAAAAGAAATTGCTAATGAGGCAAGATTGCAAGTGTGCTAAAGCGTGTTAAAATAAATTCCTTTGCTTTAAAGTGAAAGCGTGTCGTGCGCATGCTTTCACCTTTAGCATTAAAATCCTGTGGAGGGTCACAATTTCATCAATCATGGCATTTGTACTACTACTACTACTACTACTACTACTATTATTATTATTGTTGTTGTTATTATTTTGTGGGTTATGACCATGGATTGGCTATCTGTGGCTGAACAGCACAGGGTTAATAGGCTGGCAGAGTAAGTTAAGATAAGCTAAGCTTTTTGGTAGAGTATGGAAGTATGGTGGCTGAAGAAAATCACTTCATAAGAAGTTGGATTTAAGTAATTTTCATCGGACAGTTTCAAAAGATAACTTAAACAATTAACACATAGGAAGCCCAAAAAGTATTGCATGAAGGTTAATAGAGCATTTTCAAATGACATCATGGCAGCCATATTGGTGTCCCAAAACAATGAAACTGTGGGGATTGAACCCCTTTCCTCTTGTAAACACTTCCCTTTGTTCCAATAAATTTGCATAGCTGCTGCCCACATCAGCAAAAACACTCTATACATCATTTTATTCTCAAGTCTCAATGGCAAAACCAGTCGCCAAAAAACAGCTGTGAGGCATTTGTACAATAAGAGGTTGGTGAATATACTTGTTTGATATCTCAACATCAAGCATTAGGGGGTGGAGGCTTTTGTAAAGATAATCATTATCATCAACATCACCATCTTCATTTACACACGGTTACAACTTATCAAAAAATAACATGGTTGCCACAGGTCAGGCAGGAAGGGTTGACTCCGTCATAGGGTCTGATATGTGAAATTAAGAATTCATTTGGTCAGGGAAATTTTACATTTGTCAGGAAAAAGTTAAGGAAACATCAGGGAATTTCAGACACATCTGGTTGTGGCAACCATGAATAAATAAATATTCCAATACTAGATATTTGTTCGGTCCAAAATAGGTGGTTACTGAGCAAAAATAGGTTTGACTTCACAACTTGACAGGCACAAGGCGGGAAACTGTTTCAATCCCTGCTTGCTGTATACAACCATTTATAATACTTATTATATAATTATTATATTCAAAAAGGAAATATAATAATTATATAATAATTATTATACATTTCCTTTTTTTGTGTGTTTTGAATTTTATCAGGTATGTGAGTTTTTAACTCAGCGTGGTGTCAATAGTGAAATAGTGGAAAAGTTTAGAGTTGAAAAGGTGAGTTTATTATTCAGGGCCCAGTTGTTTGAAGGCTGATTAGCGCTAACCCAGGGTTAAATTTTAACCCAGGTTTCTGTTTCTTTTGTTCAAAAGCATTTTCCTGGGTAATTTTCTCTCTTCTTTTTAGAGCCTCCAATCATCAAATTGCAGGGAAAAGAATAAAACTGAAATTGCTTCTCAAGCTTTCATATCTGAAATAAAAAATTTTGCATTAACCCTGGGATAACTTAACCCCGCTTTGAACAACCTGGCCCAGGTCACTAATTGCATGCCCTCGAGTAACAAAATTGCCTCCAGGGATGATAGACTTGTTCTTGCCTTTCTTCGGGGTTAACTTGGGAAGATGCCAGGAAAGGACAGACTTCCCTTCTAAATGTAGCAATAGTGTAAAAGAAGTAGTAAGTCAAACAATCAATCCAAGATATCGAAAGTTGGCTGCAAGGGGTAATAGTAACAATGTCATCACTATTTTTATCGGCGATTTTATTTGATTCTAATAGTCAAAATTGAGTAACTGTGAGAGACTATAGAATAACACATTTCCTACCAAGAAATTTAAGACAGTAATGGACCACAAATTCCCTTTTGCAGCTATTTATTTATTTCTTACACTTCTTAGACACCTGTGGCTGTCAGAACATTGCTACAGTTAACAAGAAATGCTGTAATAAATACAATGTAACATGAGATGTAAAAACAGCAAAATGGCAATCGCTATAACATATTTTAGACCTCAAGTATAAAAACTGTTAAACCAAAAGATGCTGATTAGGTAATACAATAGTTTTTGTGACAGTTTTCTGTTCTTCCTTTTAATGATGAAAGAAAGAACACTAATAGTTGTACTAATGAATAAGCCTTTCAGGTCTATTCTTTCAAAAGAATGTATTATTTTTGTTGCTTTTGTATTGTGACATTCCAGGGAATAGAATATTTTATGCACTGTTGCATACAAGGCTAAACTAAAAACTCCCGTTTTGTTTATTCTTCAAAAGAAATATTTGGACAAGTCACTACAAAGCCTTCCCTGACCGTACACTGTCTACATGTATGTTGAATTTTAAAGTACCAAGAACATAATGACAGCTGACGTTCACTTCAGTGGTCATGGTAGCATTGCCCTTAGAAAAATTATAAGTTTTGACGAATTGACTCGCGATATTGTCAACTTGATATTAACTTTTACAACAATATTCTCTAAATTAATCAATTTACTTTAACGTAAATCTTTAAATGAACTGTTTTGATTGGTTTCCGTAAAGTCACGTCTGAATAAATTATGACATACATTTTTTTCTGATTTTATAGTTTGACTATGTTGCTGTTCAATACAGCAGCGAAGTGTCCTTGAAAGAACTGGGATTAAAACTGGGTGATGCATTTACGCTGAAAGCACTGTTAGAGACACAGAGGAGAGGAAGAGAAAGTTACTCGAGATCTTACAAAAGAAAGCTGGTGCCTCTAAATGCAAGCACATTTGCACTAAAGATAATTCTGGCAAGACCGCTGAAAGACCTACAACATGAAGAATTCAACTAGGCTTGATGAGTTATGATGCACGCAACAACAAATACAAAAGATTTCCTTGGTCAAAGGAGGTGGCACAAGAAAGGTAGACCTGCCTGTTGACTTTAACAGAGATGATGTAATCAAATATGCAATCAAGCATTTTTTCCCAGAAGTTGAATTCACTTCAGACATCAGTTACGAACTGGCTAATTTCAAGCAAGAGCCAGTGTCCAAACTTGTTGATACTCTTGGAGAGGTGCACGATTTTACTATCCAAAAATACTGTGAACTGTGCAAGACCCACCAGTTTAACCTATATCTTCTTGCGAAAGAAAATCCTGTTGTAGAAGATGAAGAGCTGAAAGAGGACGACAGTGCAGATTTGTTGATCCCTGTGTTCGATAGTCCTATGGAGGCTGGCTTAACTGACTGTCCACCCATTGAAAACAGTCACCTACAATTTTCATCAAAAAGTCAGTCTTACCACGCCCCCAGCATGTCGTCAGCAGGTAGAAATTCTGGAAGGGCTAGGCAAGTCGAGGAGCGTCGTGGCGGATGGCAGCATGAAGTAGGTTCTGTAATATCAATGTAATGAGTGAAGTAAAGAGGCTTAGACAAGAAAATCTAAGGCTTAAGGATCAAATCCAAGCTTTATCCAAAGAGGTTGAGCAAATGAAACTTTTGCTTCAACAGAGTTCCATACAATTAGCGGGTGAACCACCAACAACCGCAAACGCTACTCTGAGTCGTGAAGGTGAGAAGAGCTTAAGCTTCCTTAGCGATAAGCACGATGAATTGATTTTGTTTAAAACAAATGCAATGGCCGAACTAGAGCGAATCGCTAAGAAGATTGAAGCTGTTAATGAAAAAGTCAAAAACATCAGTGAAGCAATAGAAAGCATGGAAAATTACAGCTACCAATATAATATAAAACTTGTTGGATTCCCCGAACTCTATGAACATGAATCGGCGAATGACACTGCAAAACTATTCCTTGAAATCTTTAAAGCCATCGGCGCAAGTGAATTGACTGTTCAAGATATTGATATCGCTCACCGTGTCCAATCAAGAAGTGATACTGGGCCCAAACCAATTATCTGTAAATTCGTTCGAAGATTGGCGAAGGAAAATGTAATGAACCACCGACGAGAAGTGGAAAGTATTTCTCCATCTACTCTGGGGTACAGTTCGGAAACTTCTTTGGAGCAAGCCAAGATTTATGATCACTTAACACCAAGATTACAGCACCTCTTATCAGAAGCAAATAAATTTAAGACAGCGCATCAATTTCAGTATTGTTGGGCGAAAAATGGCCAAATTCTTCTTCGCAAGACGCATGAATCTAGAGTGATCAAGCTGAAGTCAGTTAAAGACTTGAGCAGGCTAACGAATAGTCTGGAATTTGAGTGAGATTATCTTGCCGAGCTAAGTACCTGATATTATTTTTTATTCTGATAAATCTAGTTTAATCTAGAAGAGATGGCTTTCTGTAAAAAAAAAAACAATTTAAAGGAAAGCTTAACACATTTGCCTTATTATAATTGCAAACATATTCTGTCTGTTCATGGCAGATTTAACAACCTTTTAGGTGACAATTTACATTCAAAGAAAACCCTGGAGACACTGCATAGTCTTTATGATTACGATATCTTTAACATGAATTCATTTAATGCAACATTGACCCGGATTTCAACTTTTTAGAACCAAGATTGCGATCCCGATATTTCTCACCTCACAGCTTTGCTGAGACTATTAAAAGTAAAATAAATCAAAATCATCGGAATTTTATCTCTATTCTTCACAGTAATATAAGAAGCCTTAAGAGAAATTTCGAACAGTTCCATCAGCAAGTACTTTCTGAATTAAAAGTAAGGTTTAGTGTTATAGGACTAACTGAAATTTGAATCCGTGATGGCGCTTGTAATGAAAATCTTCCGAGCTTACCAAACTACTATTTTGAGTATGTAACAACGCCTCTTCCACAGGCGGTGTGGGAATGTTTATTAGCAGTCAACTGTAATATAATGTTCTCGAACGTACTTCAAACTCTTCCTACCAAGCTCTTTGTATCGAGATTGTAGACGCAAATAAGAAAAAGAATATTTGTGGTGTGGTTTATAGACAGCATGACAAGGCTGATGATTTCCTTAATTATCTTTCCTCGTCAATAGAATTATATTCCTCGAGAAATAGAAACATTTATGTAATGGGAGACTTTAACATTGACCTTCCTAAATTTGAATCTTGCTCTTACTCTAAAGAACTGCTAGAATTAACTCAAAGCTTTTCACTATTACCAGCTGTCGATAAGCCCACAAGAGTTTACGGAAACTCGGCTACGTTAATCGATATTTTTTCAAACAATTTAGAAAACAGCCTCATATGTGGCAACATTGTAACCGACACCACGGACCACTTCACCCAGGTAAGTACAGTCTGCCTTCCTGTCTCACTCTGGCTACAAAGCACACGACAAACTAGATTGCTTCTAGGATTGTTCATTTAACATATATATATATATATATATATATATATATTTATATTTATACAATTTTCTTTTTTCTCTTGTACCCGTCTCAAATAGCCTTCGCTAATTGTAGGCACAAGCTTTGTAAGCTATATTTAATTTGAAATAAACTTGTCTGCATTGAAGGAATGGGATCACAGAAAGGCACAATCCTTCCTTCCTTCCTTTTTTCCCTCCTATTCACAGGTATTTTTCCAAATACCATCAGTAAAGTTTTTATGGCTGCCTTACTTGCTGGTAAAGATGCCCTGTCTGCAGATGACTACATTTGTGGCCTTTTGGATCACGTCTCAGAATACGACTCCTTACAGCTTAAGAGTGCGCTTGAAACATTGACGACTGCTTATGTTTTTTGAGAGGGGACGTCCATATTCCTCCTGGAATTCGGCATATGGAGTGTTTCAAATCCCAACCCCCTCCTCACTACGAGGTATTTTGGTCAGTGTCACTTAGACGGAATTGCAAAGCCTTCTGTTGCTCTAAATGATATTAGGGCTGGAATGTTCGAAGGCAAGTTCCACAAATTCAGGGAAATTTCCGCAAAGCAGAAGTAGATTATCTCTACGACAAAATGAGGCTCACCACCTCAAAGGTTCTCAAGATGATACGCGTGAATGAGATGTCGCTGAGTAAGCCGCAATCGCAGGTACTCCAGTTTCTAAGGCAGTACATCAGGGTTCTAACCCCAAAGGAGTTGCAGTCGTTCCTGCGGTATGTTACAGGAAGCTCTTTACCAGTAGTGCAGCACATCAATGTTATATTTCATCCACAGGCTGGAAACTTTCCCTTGGTGTATATTCACACCTGCTCAGCTATAATTGATCTCCCTTCTGGTGGTTACACAGGGTTTCAAGATTTCAGAGTCCAGCTGGATAACACCCTGCAATCTCCAGAAGCATGGCAATTTACATCAGCCTAACACTCTGCCAGTCTTGCCTTTTAAATGTGCTTCAGTGCATGTTGTGATCTTGATCCAAGATTGCTCACCGATGTGCACCAAAAATTATATATCCTCTATCTACTAATAATAAGTAGGCACAGTAAAAGGAAATGAAATGTATCAAGAAATGTAAAATGTCAAAGGTGTGACTAAAGTACGTAAGTTGTTTGTGCCCAAAAAACCAGCTTGCTTATAAGTACGGGTGTGTAGAAGTGGATATTATCATGGTGATTTGTTAGGGAAATATCAGCCCCGCCCTCATCTGTTAGAATCAAATCTGACCCCAGCTTTTCAGGCCCTTAGTTACAGGGTGTACTCAAATTAATCCCCCCCGAAGAACAAACAAAAGAAAACGTGGCATGTAGAAACATATTAACAATTATTGGTTGGCGCTGAGTACACTCTAGAGGATTATGCAGATCATGGAAGGCATTCATGGTTGAGGTGGGTAACACCCTCCACTTTGAGTTCAAATTTTACCATTCAGAACAAAAAGTTAACAAATCAAGTGACTTCCCTTGGCTTTCTGAGCATTTTTTTAATATCCTCATGGAGTCAGCAGTTTTTCCGCACTCAACGTTTCACACCTTTCGTCAGCCTTCTCTGTGCTCTTTAGCACTGCAGTACCAAAGTAGTTATTGCACAACCGATCTCCCATCACTGTTGTTTTAGTTGACGATTGATCTGAATTGTCCAGTAAAAGAAAAAAGTTTAAAATTTGGCCAGAACAGCTGGTTAGCCGGAATAAGCCCTGGATTGTAAAGCAGTCAGAAACAGAGATGCATTTATGAATGAATGATAACATCTGTTGGCACTTCAGAAGGACACGTCATCCGTCTTTACTGATCAAAACTATTTTTGCATTAGGTTGACCCCAATAACGAAATGCCCTCTTCAACACCTGTCCATCTTTTCACACCAGAAACACAGTGTAGCACCTACAAACCACTGGAGAGTTCGGACGATTCTGGTGATGAGACCATACCTGGCGCTACCAGCAGTAGAGAAAAACTGAATAAATTTTTATCTAGCAAAGATATTAGTCCCATCAGATCTAACCTAAATAAAAGGTGGCATTTTACCAACGAAAGGACATAACACCAGGAAAGTGCCCCAAGCTGTTCACACTGTAATTGGAAGAAATTGTGCCAGTATATACAGATGGCCTGTGGGAGGCGTTAGTGTCATCAAGAGGAATGGTACGTCAGTTGTCAATGGACCCCGAATTTCATGCTGACTCATCACTAAGGCCCTCACCGAGTGCTATGACAATGCAGGCCACTGGGGCACACGACAACAAATTCTCTCTATTTTGGCTAACAAAGTTAGTCTTAAAATGCTCAAGAGATGGATCCCCAGTCTCACTCGCTATAGATTTAACATTGCCAGACACCATCAGCTTCTCCATGGCCGAGGAGGCATGTTGCTGACTGAAAAGTACACACGGATGTATATGGGGCCAGGACAATTACGCCACTTTCTCAACTTTATTACAAGTGGGCATATTATTCAGGACCTCCCGTTGGGTGAAAAAATAGCTCAAGTTGTCGTCTAACAAGGATTGAAGATTTAATTGCAATTATACAGCAAGAAATTGTATGCCTATGGCGGCCAAACGCCTCAGGTTGTGGGGTCTGTTTAAGTCAGAATTGGCTGTGGAGGAGACAAAGGTCTTAAAACACTTTATTGTGGTCAAACAAGGGCGGTGCCTGGTTGGAAATTCAACGGCAACAGAACCAGGAATTCTCCACATGGGTCCAGCACCCAACCCCCTTGCTGAGAGCTGTAACACAGTCGGTTGCCCCTTTGTGGAAAGCCTCAAAGCTAAGTTTCCAGGTATATTCAGTGTTGGTAGATTGAAGAATTACCAGTTGAAGCTGCACATCGACCCTCCAGTAACCCCAGTGGTCCAAAAGATGCGAAGAATTCCGTTTTTAGGTAAGGATAAAGTGACTGCCAAAGTTGATGAGCTCCTTGAGAACGACATTATTGAAAGAGTGGAAAGGCCTACAACATCGATAAGCCCAGTTGTTGTTGCTCCAAAACCATCAGGGGACATACGCTTATGCATTGATGTACGTAGAGCCAATGAAGCTATAGTGTGTGAGAGGTTGCCCATACACACCGTAAAAGAGGTTCTAGAGAGTCCAAATGGAAGAAAAGTGTTTTCTAAGATTGGCGTTGGGGTTTTCATCAGATCGAACTGGAAACCAACTCGATATTACTTCTTTTGCTACTGATGATGTAATATTCCAATACAAGCGATTGAGCTTTGGTGTCAATGCAGCCCGGGAGAAGTATCAGCATATCATCACCCAGACAATGGCAGGTCTAAAGGACATAACTAATATTGCAGATGACCTTATTGTGCATGGACAGGACTCCGAGTAACATGACACGAATTTGATTAAAGTGTTAGACAAGCTCAAGGAGAGAGGACTGACTGTGAATGCGGAAAAGTGCACTTTCAGGATGACAAAAGTGGTCTTCATGGGTCCCCTCTTGACCAGACATGGGATCGGACCAACCAAGGAAAAGGTCAGGGCTGTAGTCGAGGCTTCTCAGTAACAACCCCTATCTGGAGTGCCCAGTTTTTTGGGCTTGGTTGGATTTAGTGCCAGGTTCATACCTTACTTTTCAACCACTGCTGATCCTCTACGGAAGATTGCAAGACAAGGGAAATCATTTAACTGGGGTGAAGAGGAAGAGAACAGATTGCTGGTGCCCCTGTCTTGGCATACTTTGACAAGGAAGCACACTTCCAGATCATTGTGGATGCCAGTCCAGTGCGTCTTGGAGCAGTACTGATACAAGAGAGGAATGGGGAACGTTGTGCCCTTTGCTATGCCAGCCGCACCTTAAGCAATGTTGAACGCCAATAGAGCCAAACAGAGAGGGAGGCGTTGGCCTTAGTTTGGACTTTTGAGCTTGTGAGTGTTGACC